AGCAATTATAGCTGCAAATCTCTTGGGGTATGTCTCTATAAGCTTGGCACATCTAGCCACTGGGATTTTGCCCATTCTTCAAGGCAAAACTGCTCCAGTTCCTTCAAGTTGGATGGGTTCCGCTGGTGTACAGCAATCTTTATGTCATACCACAGATTCTCAATTGGATTGAGGTCTGGGCTTTGACTAGGCCATTCCAAGACATTTAAATGTTTCCCCTTAAACCACTCGAGTGTTGCTTTAGCAGTATGCTTAGGGTTATTGTCCTGCTGGATGGTGAATGAACCTCTGTCCCAGTCTCAACTCTCTGGAAGACTGAAACAGGTTTCCCTCAAGAATTTCCCTGTATTTAGCACCATCCATCATTCCTTCAATTCTGACCAGTTTCCCAGTCCCTGCTGATGAAAGACATCCCCACAGCATGATGCTGCCACCACCATGCTTCACTGTGGGGATGGTGTTCTCGGGGTGATGAGAGGTGTTGGGTTTGCGCCAGACATAGCGTTTTCCTTGATGGCCAAAAAGCTCAATTTTAGTCTCATCTGACCAGAGTACCTTCTTCCATATGTTTGGGGAGTCACCCACATGCCTTTTGGCAAACACTAAATGTGTTTGCTTATTTCTTTTCTTTAAGCAATGGATTTTTTCTGGCCACTCTGCCATAAAGCCCAGCTCTGTGGAGTGAACAGCTTAAAGTGGTCCTATGGACAGATACTCCAATCTCCGCTGTGGAGCTTTGCATCTCCTTCAGGGTCATCTTTGGTCTCTTTGTTGCCTCTCTGATTAATGCCCTCCTTGCCTGGTCCATGAGTTTTGGTGGGCGGCCCTCTCTTGGCAGGTTTGTTGTGGTGCCATATTCTTTCCATTTTTTAATAATGGATTTAATGGTGCTCTGTGGGATGTTCAAAGTTTCTGATATTTTTTTATAACCCAACCCTGATCATTACTTCTCCACAACTTTGTCCCTGACCTGTTTGGAGAGCTCCTTGGTCTTCATGGTGCCGCTTGCTTGGTGGTGCCCCTTGCTTAGTGGTGTTGCAGACTCTGGGGCCTTTCAGAACAGGTGTATCTATACTGAGATCATTTGACACTTAGATTGCACACAGGTGGACATTATTTAACTAATTATGTGACTTCTGAAGGTAATTGTTTGCACCAGATCTTATTTAGGGGCTTCATAGCAAAGGGGGTGAATACATATGCACGCACCAATTTTCCGTTTTCAAACAAGTCATTTTTTAAATTTCACTTCACCAATTTGGACTATTTTGTGTACGTCCATTACATGAAATCCAAATAAAAATATATTTAAATTACAGGTTGTAATGCAACAAAATAGGAAAAACACCAAGGAGGATGAATACTTTTGCAAGGCACTATATACTTAGTGTATGTCATCTCCTGTTGACTGTTTGATTTCAACCCAGAATAAGTTTACCAAGTAAAACTAGAAATCTATAAACCTCCCCCACTGACCCACTTGTCAGTAATTGACATAATGGAAACACATATGCATACAATCATAAGGGAATGGAACAAAGCACTCAATTCGCACATCTCGTCAAGTTCAAAGTAGTTGAGAAGCTCTCAAGTCACAATGATCAGGTCATGTCACATGTCCATATTGAAATCTATAGTATACTACACTGTCATTCCGTTCACTATCTTTGCAATCAAATCAAATAATTAAAGACACTGACCATACAGCAAAGGCATATTCCCTGAATGATGATCCACACATAGTATATTTCACTGTTTAATGCTAAGTTTGCATACTGTTCATTCCCATCGAAGGCTCTGCCAGTGTAATGGCAGGTTTAAAAAAATTATGGGCCTATGGGGAAAATGAGTGCCATCATACATTAGATTTACAGTAAGGGTAATTCCAGTCTTTGGCATGCAACATCGCCTATCCTTATAAGGATATGTGGTCCTCTGTAGCTCAATTGGTAGAGCATGGCGCTTGTAACGCCAGGGTAGTGGGTTCGATCCCCGGGACCACCCATACGTAAAAGAGTATGCACGCGTGACTGTAAGTCGCTTTGGATAAAAGCGTCTGCTAAATGGCATATTATATTATACTAACCTGTGGACAGGTAATTGTTGAGAACTCCTTCTTTGTTGCTAGGTTACTACACCCATGGGAGTCCCCAAACTAACAGGGACTCCCCGCCCTACAAGTGTCTTAACCACACACCATTTGGTAACGGAAACAGTTACAGCGGTGCTGAAGGACTCAAAAGCGAAAGCCACAAAAAAAACACTGTTTACTGAAGAGCCAAGCAGCTTCTTTTTCAGTAATATCATTGTGTACCATATAAGGGAATTAATAGACAAGTGTGTATGTGGTCTTTGTTACGTTTAAGTGAGTTAAGGGGTGTGTGGTGTAAATAAGGCGAAGTCCATCTTGCCTTATTGTCCTTGTAATCTCCCAAAAAGCAAAAACCGACAGTAGGACATTACACAGCAGTGTTATATTCAAAATCTAATGAGAAAACGTAAGCTTATTTGTTTAAGACTCAATTATTGTAGGCTATTGCCTACAGATCCTTGCAACATGGGGCCGTGCATTATCATGCTGAAACATGAGGTGATGGCAGCGGATGAATGGCACGACAATGGGCCTCAGGATCTCGTCATGGTATCTCTGTGCATTCAAATTGCCATCGATAAAATGCAATTGTGTTCGTTGTCTGTAGCTTATGCCAGCCTATACCATAACCCCACAGCCACCATGGGGCACTCTGTTCACATCATCAAACCGCTCTCCCACACAACGCCATACACGCTGTCTGCCATCTGCCAGGTACAGTTGAATCTGGGATCCATCCATGAAGAGCACACTTCTCCAGTGTGCCAGTGGCCATCGAAGGTGAGCATTTGCCGACTGAAGTCGGTTACGACACCAAATTGCGGTCAGGTCAAGACCCTGGTGAGGACGACGAGCAGATGAGCTTCCCTGAGACAGTTTCTGACAGTTTGTGCAGAAATTCTTCTATTGTGCAAACCCACAGTTTCATCAGCTGTCCGGGTGGCTGGTCTCAGACGATCCCTCAGGTGAAGAAGCCGGATGTGGAGGTCCAGAGCTGGAATGCTTACGCATGGTCTGCGGTTGTGAAGACGGTTGGACATACTGACAAATTCTCTAAAACGACATTGAAGGCGGCTTATGGTAGAGAAACGAACATTCAATTCTCTGGCAACAGCTCTGGTGGACATTCCTGCAGTCAGCATGCCAATTGCACGCTCCCTCAAAACTTAGTCATCTGGGGCATTGTGTTGTGTGACAAAACTGCACATTTTAGTGGCCTTTTATTGTCCCCAGCACAAGGTGCACCTGTGTAATGCTGTTTAATCAGCTGTGTAATGCTGTTTAATCAGCTTTTTGATATGCCTCACCTGTCAGGTGGAAGGATTATTTTGACAAAGGAGAAATGCTGACTAAAAGGGATGTAAACAATTTTTGCACAAAATGAGAGAAATAAGCTTTTTGTGCATATGGAACATTTCTGGGATCTTTTATTTCAGCTCATGAAACATGGGACCAACACTTTACATGTTGCATTCATATTTTTGTTCAGTGTATATTTGTGTGCTCATGAACGAGTATTACAACTCCGCCTGGAAAAAGCCCTCCACCTTATGGTAACAATAACACCCTCATTTGCTGTATGATTTGGAGATTTTGGAACTGGTCCCTGGCAGTCTCTAAAAGAAAGTGCAATGTGATCACATTTCTGTAGAGGTGTGGGCAGAATGTTTTAATCTTTTGAAGTTACTTTTTCAAACCAAATGTATGTCGCCTATAGCGAGTGTCAAACACTGTCCGCATTTTCTGCAATATTGATTGTCTATTCAAACAATTTTAAAGTAAATGCTATAGCCCACATTTCTATGCAAAATATGAATTATTGTTTGTTTGTTTATCAACCTGAGTGTGTTTCTATCTCCTGCGTTAGTATAGACTCTGAGATTAAATAGGCTATGATGTCGCTCTCCTATCTTACAACAATACCGTCAAATATTTTAAATAGGGCCAACTGGTCTATTTACTTTGGAGCAGGCTTGGCCATTGAATGAGCGATAGATAAATGGCAGCCTAATATTTGGGTCGTTCCACCAATTCGGTGCCTTTTGATTTCACCTAATTTTAACATTTTGTCATAAAGAGCACGTTCAACTTAATAAAAACATGACTATACTAAGTGCCAAATAAAGTAACACGGTTGACGATTTCTTCTTAAATCAGCCATAAATCCCCTTGTGACAGGGGAAATGGAAGCTTGTTGAGTGCAACAAGGAGTGGCAATTGAATGCAAGCTTCACAAAACCTTTGTGTGCTCGACCCGCTGTTTTCCAGCACAAAATGGCCAAACCAGCTCACCCGCTTTTACACTCTGATTTGACTAATTGATGTTCAACGTTTCTTTTGCAAAAAATATTTTTAAGGAATAGTTTCATCATATTAAAAAGCAAGTACAGTTAACCTTTACGGGATCGGTGTCCCGTATATGGGACGGTTGAGCTAACATGCGCTAATGTGATTAGCATGACTGTTGTAAGTAACAGCAAACTTTCCAGGACATAGACATGTCTTATATGGGCAGAAAGCTTAAATTCTTGTTAATCTAACCGCACTGTCCAATTTACAGTAGCTATTAGAGTGAAAAAATACCATGCTATTGTTTGAGGAATGCACAACAAAAAACGTATCACGGCAACTGGTTTGATACATTCACCTCTGAAGGTAAATGATGTACTTACGTTCAGTAATCTTGCTCGGATTTGTCATCCTAAGGGTCTCAGAGATAAAATGTAGCATAGTTTTGTTTGATAAAATAAATTTTTATTTCAAATGTAGGAACTGGGTTCTACAGTTTGGACCCCTGCCGTCTCTGGCTCCACACCCACCCCGCCCGGCCATCTAGATGTGTGAAAGTTAGTGTATAAGCTAATGATCCATCATGTATGCCATTCCTGGGAGTGTGTAAACTCATAAAAATGATATGGTAATACAAAATGTATGTTCGAAATGTGTCTTCTGCATATGGTCTGAGCTGTACGTGCGATACGCACACTTTCCCGTGAATTTCCAAATGTATCAATACCAACCTTTGCAGGAAAACTGCAACATGCAAGGTTTAGAGTACTTTTTGGTGCACACGGACCTTTGATAAATGACGCTCCTGGCTGTTTTCTATTGTTCTTAAATTATGATACTGAAAAACTGGTAAACACTTCCATCTAGAGGATAAACTGGAGTATGACAGTCTAGATTAGGAATCAAGCGCGCAGTACTGTGCAACTAACCACAACACTAACTTTAAGAAATTGTCAATCAAAACAGATTAAGAAATGTGAATATTTTATTCCTTAGACAAATGATATAGCACTGACCAAGGAAAGCCTCACTATCAAACAGAGGAATGGGGAATATTTAAATGGTAACAACCCAGATGGAGATAGGTCCAAATCAGCTGCTGAAAAATAGAACCTGAATAAATAAGTGTCTTTAAATGGGACCAAGTAACCACCAAGTGTCCCCAAGTGTCACCGTCAACAGGAAGTGACCTCAGTGCTCCTAAGGAAATGGCCCTTACTTCTTCTCCACCAGCTGTGGTTCAGAGAGTTTCTGGACGACCAGCTCCTTCACCAGGTTCTCCACACAGCGCTTGAACAGAGGCTCCGGCTCCTGGGACACAAAAGAATAGAGTCCAGTCAGAGAGAGTATGGGTCAGAGCAGATACAATAAAAAAAAATCTGTCCATATCGACCGTGCATGTTTACTCTGGCAGGGTGATTACTGAGTGACACCATATGTTCCATGTGACTGAAACGATGCAGTTACCTTGTGCTCCAGTTGTCTCTGTTTCTCCACGGCCTCATCCACACTCAGGCCAACCCACTCAGCCTCCTCTGCAGGGATTTCAAACTGCTGCTGGGGGCAAGGGAAGAAGAGCGAGGACAGAAGGAGAGGGAGAGAGATAATGTAATGAGATCTTTTAACTATCTACAAAATTTGTGCAGCACTTTCACTGACTTTATGAACTGCTGCATCATCTCCTATAGCAACATGATGAAAGCTCAAGACAAAAGTGTGTTGGTACCTCAAACACGTCATGGCCCAAAACATAACGAACCCACCTTGTACTTGGTGTAGATCTTCTCCCTCTTGGCAGGGTCCTCTGGGTAGAGCTGGGTGTCTTTAAAGGCCAGCCTCAAGAGCATGGCCCGCCTCAGGTCCATTCCTAGCTTGGAGTTCAGGTCCTCCTTTGGTGTCTGGAAGAGAATCAATCAAGTCATTGGATGATGAAACCCATGTTAAGTGTCATCTTCTCAAAACACTGCACGTTGGAGAATGTACATATATTCACCCACTATAGCTAAAGATGATAACATGCTGCCTCCTCTCTCACCCTCAGGATGTAGAAGTCCAAGCCGTAGGCGGCATCGATGAGGTCTAGGGTGCGAGCCGTGACGGTGATGGTGAACTTGTGGTTGAGGATCTCGCTGTACAGCTCTCTGGTGAACAGTTGTGGCTTCCAGACTCTTTCCAGCCTGTTGGATAGCTGAAGAGAGAGACAATGTTAGGATACATGCTCAGATATAGAATAAAGTGTGTCTGTGAATACAGGGAACAAAAAAAAATGCTCATGATGTTCATTAATGCCCTACATAGTACTCACTTTGTCATTGTTGGCATATCTGAAGCCTGATATCCATCCCTCGCCTCCCCATAGACCGTCCTGGGACTCTGGTGGGTAGTAGATGGGGATGGGGACGTCTTGTACCCGCTCCTTGTGCCCTGTTTTAGGGTTGGCCCTGTACTTGACTCCCAGGGCCTTCCAGTGGACCGGGGTGGGCTGCGTGGTCTCCTCCAGAGAGCGGAGGTAGTGTTTGGGGAGGCGGGCATAGATCCCCTGCTTCAGTTTTAGGGCTTCCCAGATCTTTGGGGGGTACTTGTGGAGAGGCATGGTCACTGGGCTGGTGTTGACACACGCCTAGCTGGGGAAACATAAAAATAACATAGGGCAAAGAACAGTCATATTTACAGTTCCTTTATTCCTTCATTAAAGGAATCTCGAAGCATTTAAATGTGCTTGTGTTAAACTCATTGTTAGACAACAGCAAGGTAAGGTAAAATAGCTATATCAATATGAATATTGAAAAGTCTGTATAGCTAGCTAGCTATGTTGCTGCTGGGTTGTCTGGCAGTCAACCGCGAACAATACCGCACGTTGGGATCACTAAACTAGCTAGCTGGATAAGACAGCAATGAAGCTATTTATAATATAATTCCAAAATTGTTGACAAATACTAGTTTCTACACAGCTGAAACAGCAATTTACCTTTGAATTGGATAAGCGACAAATTACACCATAAGATGCAGCTTATCTCTCTCCACGTTACTTCATAATCAAGGACATGCACACATTTCCGTAAAAGATGGTGCCACCCACTCCAACAAGAAGATTGATTGGTTAAAAAAAAGACGCTGAAGTGGTGATTGGTTTATCGGGCTTGCCAGTCATTATGTACATCCGGTCTGGTTCGTTGAAGGATGCGTAACATTTGGGCCGCGGCGCGCGCAGCACCTGATTTTTGAGTGACCGGGCATCTCATTTTAGTCATTTAGCAGAAGCAATTAGGGTTAAGTGCCTTGCTCAAGGGTGGCCTTTCAGTAACTGGCCGAATGCTCTAACAGCTGGGCTACCTTTCATCATCAATACCCAAAGGTATCAGAAAGCATGACCATGTTGAAATAAAATACAAGAGCAGACGGCTAGCTTCAACAAAGGTAGTTATTTACTCCGAAGAGCATTATTCCAAATATTTTATTGTGTAGTATATCTATTAGCGAACTATTATGATTACTGTAAGGAATCAAAGTCCATTCATTTTAATTTCTTAGAAATTACGCCCGAAAGGTGGAATTGAACCACTCTGCCGCTAAGCAGCTACAGGTTTGAAGCCTGCACCTCGGACCACCGAGGCTCATCCGGGCATTCTATAGAGAATATCCAGTGAGAATTTATACCTGACAGTGTGCATAAGTGTTTCAGTCTCGGTGACCAGATTTAGTGGTGAAAGCAACCATACTATTTAGTATAAGGAATGTAACCATTTGCTCCAATGAAAATAGCAAGCTTTTTAGTGACTCTATAATGAAAGAAACACAGATATTAAACGAAGTTTGTTGTTAAGGGAGGGCTTTTCGAAATAATGCAAAAACCTAAGATTTGGTTGGCTGGTTGATAACAAAAGGGGTGGAGTTTTTACAGCGTGCACCCAGAGTCACCATCAAATAATGTTGCAGGACTTTGGTTTTCTCATTTGTGGGTTCATTCATTTCAGACATGTTTTGCGCACAAAGGAAGCAGAATGACTTTGGTGAAAATTATTTTATTCCAGCACTTTTGGTGAAGATAGACACACAACTGTATAAAAGCAATCCATATGATATATCAGGATCATGCATGTACATTAATATATACTAAAACAGGGGTTCCCAAACTGTTTTGGCCCGCCACGACCCCATTTTGATATCTGAAAATTCTTAACCAATGTTTACTCTTTTATTTGGGGCTATGGCAGTCAATTGAAAAACATTTTAACAGTATTGAAAAACATTTTAACAGTATTTCTGATTGTCTTCTCAACTCACCATCACATACTTTTAATGTGGCTATGACAGACAATTGCAATTTAGTCTGACATAATGTCTCTTATCTCACCACCACTAATGAGATGGGTGTGCTTGATGCATGTCCCGTTGGAGCATCTTATGCCGCGTTCAAAACTACTGGGAATTCGGAACTGGGAATTCGGAAATCTCTGACTTCCAACTCCAGCCCATTCAAAACAACTGGGAACTTGGGGAAAAACGAGCTCCGACTGGGAAAAATCGTTTTGAACGTCATCCAACTCTGAATTCCAACTTGGAAAGTCGGAGCTCTAGAAAGAGGCCCGACTTCCCAAGTTGGAATTCAGAGTTGGATGACGTTCAAAATGATTCAAAACGTATTTTCCTAGTCGGAGCTCATTCTTTTCAGAGTTCCCAGTTGTCTTGAACTCACTGAAGTCTGTTCCCAGTTCCAACTTCCAGTTGTTTTGAACGCAGCAGAAGTCAATCTGGATTGACAGCATGGACAATCTATTCCAATTTTTATGGCCCATGGTGTTGAATGTTGATCCTTTTAAGCTTGGAAAAGAGACCCTTAAACCCAGACTTGGACCACACACCCACTCCACTGAATAGCAGGCTAGTGATTGCTTTACAACACTTGCAGTTAGCCACTGATTCCTTCCAAACCACTCATTGTTGAATTTGAGATTTCCAACTTGTTGTGTAATGTTTTATCTATAAAATTATTATACAGTGAGGGGAAAAAAGTATTTGATCCCCTGCTGATTTTGTACGTTTGCCCACTGACAAAGAAATTATCAGTCTATCATTTCAATGGTAGGTTTATTTGAACAGTGAGAGACAGAATAACAACAACAAAATCCAGAAACGCATGTCAAAAATGTTATAAATTGATTTGCATTTTAATGTGGGAGATAAGTATTTGACCCCCTCTCAATCAGAAAGATTTCTGGCTCCCAGGTGTCTTTTATACAGGTAACGAGCTGAGATTAGGAGCACTCTCTTTAAGAGTGTGCTCCTAATCTCAGCTTGTTACCTGTATAAAAGACACATGTCCACAGAAGCAATCAATCAATCAGATTCCAATCTCTCCACCATGGCCAAGACCAAAGAGCTCTCCAAGGATGTCAGGGACAAGATTGTAGACCAACACAAGGCTGGAATGGGTTACAAGACCATCGCCAAGCAGCTTGGTGAGAAGGTGACAACAGTTGGTGCGATTATTCGCAAATGGAAGAAACACAAAAGACTGTCAATCTCCCTCGGCCTGGGGCTCCATGCAAGATCTCACCTCGTGGAGTTGCAATGATCATGAGAACGGTGAGGAATCAGCCCAGAACTACATGGGAGGATCTTGTCAATGATCTCAAGGCAGCTGGGACCATAGTCACCAAGAAAACAATTGACAACACACTACGCCGTGAAGGACTGAAATCCTGCAGCGCCCGCAAGGTCCCCCTGCTCAAGAAAGCACATATACATGCCCGTCTGAAGTTTGCCAATGAACATCTGAATGATTCAGAGGAGAACTGGGTGAAAATGTTGTGGTCAGATGAGACCAAAATCGAGCTCTTTGGCATCAACTCAACATGTTCGGAGGAGGAGGAATGCTGCCTATGACCCCAAGAACACCATCCCCACCGTCAAAGATGGAGGTGGAAACATTATGCTTTGGGGGTGTTTTTCTGCTAAAGGGACAGGACAACTTCACCCCATCAAAGGGACGATGGATGGGGCCATGTACCGTCAAATCTTGGGTGAGAACCTCCTTCCCTCAGCCAGGGCATTGAAAATGGGTCGTGGATGGGTATTCCAGCATGACAATGACCCAAAACACACGGCCAAGGCAACAAAGGAGTGGCTCAAGAAGAAGCACATTAAGGTCCTGGAGTGGCCTAGCCAGTCTCCAGACCTTAATCCCATAGAAAATCTGTGGAGGGAGCTGAAGGTTCGAGTTGCCAAACGTCAGGCTCGAAACCTTAATGACTTGGAGAAGATCTGCAAAGAGGAGTGGGACAAAATCCCTCCTGAGATGTGTGCAAACCTGGTGGCCAACTACAAGAAACGTCTGACCTCTGTGATTGCCAACAAGGGTTTTGCCACCAAGGGTTTTGCCACCAAGGGTTTTGCCACCAAGCAAAGTCATGTTTTGCAGAGGGGTCAAATACTTATTTCCCTCATTAAAAAATGCAAATCAATTCACAACATTTTTGACATGCGTTTTTCTGGATTTTTTTGTTGTTATTCTGTCTCTCACTGTTCAAATAAACCTACCATTAAATTTATAGACGGATCATTTCTTTGTCAGTGGGCAAACATACAAAATCAGCAGGGGATCAAATACTTTTTTCCCTCCCTGTAAATATATATATATATTTTTTAGCTTAACAGGTGGGGCTCTGCCCACCTGCCCTGAATGACGGGTCGCCACTGTGCTCTGACCCGATATCTCCACATTGTTTTGTGGACAAGCGTGCGCGCAGTGGATGTTGTTTGATGTCGTTTACCATCGAAGTTACCTGCTGCGGTATATCTCAGAGTGTTGTAGAAATACTTCTCAAAGATATCGCTCAGACAACGGAGCTTGTGAATTCAGTATAGACTTTATTACAAAGTAACAAGCCGAGCTGATCCATGGAGCAACTGCCCATCCTGACTCGGAGCTCTCCTTTTATACAGTTTCATTCTTACACAACATACATAGTCACTCCTCTTTATGTAAATGATTGACATCTTTCAGTTCCACCCCACTATTTTTTGCGAAGTCTACGTGGTTTCTCTCTAGGCAGGGTTTCCCCTCCCCTTGGACTCTTAATACAGTTATATTGGTGGCGTGATACTAGCAGTATCATAACATTTTTCTTCAAGATGATTAGATTACAGGGTGTGCTGACTGTCATTACTATCCAGGCACGAATCTGGATTACAAAATGTCCATCATGCTTTATTCTGTTTTTCCCTTCTCTTATACAAAAAGGTATGGTTACAGGTTTCCCTTAATCCCATAATGATTCTGTTATTCCATCTCAACATTTCATCATATACGTACTGGAAAATTACCCATACGAGTTCTGTGCTCAGCTCTTTTGCCGCCAGTTGCTCTTGGTGTATCATACGTCCATATGGCAGAGGGAGACACATTTATAACTAGAGTGCAGAAACCTGCCCATAGATGGAGCCCCATCTGTGCAAAAGCCCACCATATAGTAAAATCACTGTGGAAGCCAAGCCAGAAAAAAATGGCATATTACAACATATGTGTTGTGATAATTGCATTGTTTGCTTTATAACCTGTTAGTTCATATGCCTTGCGACCGTGATATATGCCCAAGGCCGAGACAATAAGAAGACACAGTGGAGCTCAGTTGTTAGAGCATGGCGTTTGCAATGCCAGGGTTGTGGGTTCGATTCCCACGGGGGGCCAGTATGAAAAATGTATGCACTCACTTACTGTAAGTCGCTCTGGATAAGAGCATCTGCTAAATGACTCAAATGTAAAAATAAATTCAACCACACCTTTGTTTCATCACAAAACTAGAGAGCAACCTCTGTCTGGTGAAATCCACAAAGCATATTGCATGTAACAAACAGTTACATGACCTATAGCATTGTCAAGAAACTATTGATTTAGAACCATGGAGAGTTACTGCAAAGAAAACATTTTGAACGTCATCCCCCCCCCAGTGCGATAAAAATAACAACACAGAGTTACATATGGGGTAAAACAAAACAATATCAAAAATACAACAGATAATATATATACAGTGTGTGCAAATGTAGCAAGTTATGGAG